AAGCTCCAGTCTCACCCATCATCTGCAGAGCTCAGCCTGAGTTTCGGTGGTGGGCAGCAGAGCAAGTGCAGCTGCAGCATTTCTGTGGAAGCAGCAGGGCAAGGAGCCTGTGCCACACACAGAGCAGCAGGCCAGGCTCACTTGCTGGCTCCCCCTCCCCTGGATTGGGCTACTCCTCCCCATCTATGGCACTCATCCCTCCCTCCCCTCAGCACATCTCGGGCCCCAGCCTGCTCGCCATGCACACAAAAAGCTTCACAAAAGGATGGCAGCAACTGAGAGCAGCATTCATGAGAGGGCATTGCCCCCAGGTCCTGCTGCCGCCACAATACCTACATATGTCACAGTTTTTTTTAATGTTATTAAAGCTATGATGAAAGTGTTATAGTATTTAAATACATATGGGGTAACCCTGGGTGTCACCACCACAACAAAAAGCTAACCTGTAACCGTATCCTAACTTCTCCCCAGTTTCTTATAATTCCATTATTACTTCTTTAAAAAGCTCAATTTAAGTGATTAATGCCGTCAATATAGAAAACAACTAGATAAGAAATGAGTTCATCCACCAACACTGAAAGGTGTAAAATTAAATTTATATACAAGCAAGTAATGACAAGAACTTCATGCACACTCATTTTTATGCCATGCAAAAAATAATAAATCTGATGCAAAATGATAAATAAACTTTGGATTGAATCCACCCATTTCCCCCTCAATCTTGGACAATTCCCCCCTTATTACAGCCTCCCTTCCACATAGCTTTTGTCCATGCAAGTCCCATGATACAAATCATAAGGCTTTCTGGTGGTCAAGGGGAAATTCTTCCTCCCTTTGCTACTGAGGTTCCAATTAGGGATGTGCATTTGGTTCCAATTAGGGATGTGCATTTGGATATTTCCCGTCTGAATAAATATCCCAACCACCCACCCCCCCCCCAAACTGGGAATACCATATTTTTTTTGCTCCTTGATATCTGGATCCAAAAAATATGCATTTTTTGGGGGGGTGCACATTCCTAGACCCAACCCTTAACATTTCTTTTGGAAAAGGCTAAGAGACACTAAAGCTTCAATCAGATTACAGGTTTTGAGTGACCTGGCCCCGCCTCTAATTTATCCAGGTTTCTTTGTAACAGAGAATTTTGATCAGACATTCCTCCCTTAGCCCATCTCACTGCGTGGTTGATCAATCAGATGCAGCAGCCACAGAGTGGGGCAGTTGGGCAGCTTTTTAAATTATTTGTCTTCTGAAGCAGTGCTTCAAACTCCTGGCAGCAGCTGGTGGCCAATGGGATCGCTGGAGGAGGCCACTGGGATATGTGAGGGATGTGTTTTTGAAACTGTGCTTTTGAAAAATTCAACATTTCAAACATTTCAAAGCCAGGGGAGAGCACAGAGAATCCTCATCTTGTGTCCTGTGTGCTGCTGGCAATTTTATTTAAAAGCCTGGAGCAAAGCTGGAGTCACAGGCATCATTCTCAGACTTCCCTCCTCCCTCCCTCCCTCCCTCTCCGGAAGAAAAACAACACATATTTTCAAGTCACACCTTCCCCATCCCATGGGCCACAAAACAAACAAACAAACAAAAAAAACGAAATACACAGGCATCTTTGAGGAAATCAGGAGTGGCCAAGAACCACCTGTGAGGTGAAGCAAAGCTGCTGGCCCAGCCTCTCTGATGGCTTCCAATGCACTCCCCCTACCTCCTACACCTAACAGGTGGTTGTCTGTCAGGTACACCTAACAGGTGGTTGTCTCCACAGTGGCTTCTAATACTCCTCCCCCCCTCCCCGTCCTACACTGGCCTGTCAAGTGTAGGAGAGGTGGTGGGATGCTTACAGACGCCGGGGAGGTTTGCTCAGCAGGATTGCCTTAGCACTGCTGCTGGCCCAGCCTCTCCGATGCCTTTAAATACAATCCCCCCCAACCCCAAACAGGCTGGTGTCTGTCAGCTGTAGGAACGGGGCCAGGGTATGAATGTTTATGGGGAGATAATAAAGGACATTTCTAGGAGCCATTTCGATGCGTGCCTCCCTCATGAACCTGAAGAAATGTCCACCACATCACCACTCCCTCACACCAACTCCCCCTCACACCTCTCACCTCTTACTGCCCCCAAGAAAGCTCCTGGCAAACGTCGAGCCAGATACATCAATGCTACAAGGAGAAGGCAACTTAGGAATGCGGCAAAGACATTTGCACATAGTACTCCTGCAGTGCACTGAGCTGCACAGGCCAAGTACCAGCAAGATCACCCTGAGGTGCTCAGAACAACACAGTCTCCATATAAGCAAAACAATCCAGGAACACAAGTAGAGACGCCATCACTTTCGTCGAAGGTAGCAGGAGTTGAGTTAATGGACACCTGCTTCTTAAATGGACAGTTCTATGTGGCCTGCTCCAGAGTGAGCTCATCAAGCAGCCTGGTGATCCTAGTACCTGAGGGCAGATCTACCAATGTGGTCTAGAGAAAGGTCCTTCGGTAGAGGAAAAAAATTATGCATGTCTCACTTCATTTTTTACACTACAATCTTCTCCATTAGAATTCCTACAACAAATGTTACATTTCAAACTTCACATCAGTATTATAATTGGATTTATGGAACTTAAATACTGTAGCGAAGCACATGTATCAGGCTAGTATAAATACAATTCCAATTTATCATAATTATTTGGTTGTTTCACAGGTCACTCGGATTAATAATATTATTTCACTACTTGTACCAATGGTGCTGTGTGGAGACATCATACTATAATGTGCAGGGTCCAGAGTGTGATCCCTTTCTGCATACATAAAAGGGCTCACTAGATTACACTATTATATATGCATTACACATTAGTCATAGATCAATTTATTGAATGATGATTTAGCATTTCATATTGAAAATGATACACCACTTTCCCCCCCCAAAAATGCACATGATATTTGAGATAAAATTAACTGTCAATAATTCACCTGGGATCCATGCCAAGATTATAGTTTAATAACTTTTATGCAGTTTAGAAAGGGCATAGTATTATAGTAAACAACTCTGCTGACTCTTTTACTTCAACTGAACTTTAGATGGAGTCCAGATATTAACATCAAAGATGTCACAATCAGTTCTTCGGTTGTCTAGATTGCACAATTTATGTCATAAAATTCAGATATGTGTTAGTCATTATATTACATAAATTAAACAACAGTTACCCAACTGATGCCTTTTCCTTGGTGTAATATCTAGGGGTTCCCCAGTTTATGTCCTCAAGGGTGAAGAAAGTCTGTAAATGCAGTGGAAGTGATTCCATCCTGAAAACAAATGCTTTGGGCTGCAGTAAAATGGATGTCTGGACATTCCATTATGTGTTTGTGTGTTCACTTCAATGTGAAAAGAATGTCCCTTCTGAATTCGTACTGAAAACACAGTGGCGGCTTCATTGCAATTTAGATAGCCAAATGCTGTCCATGGTGCTGATGGGAGTGATATTTAGAACATTAGTGACCTGGTTAGAATGAAAATCATCCCATTTCAAAGATGGGACAGGACGAACAGAACAAGAATGGATGGGAAAGAGGGATGGTGATTTTGTGGGTGAATAAGGGTCTGTGTGTAAATCTTGGAAGAAGACAATGGAAGAGTAGGGACCCAAATCTGGAAACTGGGCTCAGTATAAACAACATAAATCACTGAGAACTATGGAAACAGGAAGAACAGCAATTAATAACAAACCCTGATGTTTTGTATGATGTTTGGCCACTTCAGTGAAAACTTTGCATGAAATATTTGGTAGACAACAGAATTTTGATGGATTGCATATCCGAGTTTTTATTTATTTATTTATACACACACACACACACACACACACACATGACTGATTTCTGAGTCCCTACTCTTTGTTCTAATTCTTGGTGAAAGTTAAGTTAAGGAAATCTGGCAAGATGTCTTAATATTCACATTAATTCCTATCATATTATTTTATGCTGTATGTTGGAAACAAAAAAATATCATATTTTATAATACTAGCACACAGAATGGAGAGAAGGAAGGCAGAAAGAAAGGATGCTTTTTGCAAGACAGTCTAGACATAATAATCACTATGGGATTTTCTGAGTTCACGTCTGTACCATGTATCAGCTATACTATTAGGAAAGTCCATTATGCGGCTTGCCCACATTATCTGAAGTTTCTGTGCTACTACCATATGCCAGAAATGTGTGGCAGTGGCATGAATTGGAGGAACTCTCCATGCTATGGATGCCACGTGAAATAACTATAACACAGAGATTCTGCCAAGATATAGTATACAGCAATTGTAATCTGCTGGCTGGCTCTTTATCAATGTAATTTTAATCTTGGCATCTTTTAGTGGACTGGAAGAAAGAAGTCTATTATTTTTTTCAGGGACTGCTACTTTGATGTGGTGGTGGAAAGTGCCATCAAGTCACTGCTCCTTATGGTAACTTCATAGGCTTTTCAAAGCAATAGATGTTCAGAGGTGGTTTGCTACGGCTTGCCTCTGTGTAGTGCCCCTAGAGTTCTTTGGTGGTCTCCCATTTAAGTACTAACCAGGGCCACCCTTGCTCAGCTTCTGAGACCTGATGATATTGGGCTAGCCTGGGTTATACAGGTTTCATTGATAATGAGGGTCAAATTTTGCATGCCACACAGGTGACATGATGTTAAACACATGCCATTCACTTACACATCTGTACATTTATCTGACATTAATTGGGAAGGCACATATATTTATGCCAAGGACACAGGTCTCAATGCTGCAGTGGTGGGACTGCTCCAACAGGGGGATTTGCAAGTATAGAATTTGTAACTGGTTAGTGCATGAACTGGACTTAGTCAGTGGGGATCTGAAACTGACTCTGAGAGTTTTAAAACTAGCACTCTGTTCACTCTCCCTTCTACATGCTAGTTACCTTCTAGGAAGAAGCACATACAAATAAATACTGTGTAATCCGCACCCATAGGAATTAATTTTTTTACTCTGTTCTACTGTTTCACGTACCTGGACACCGTCAGATGCAGGGATGTAACTTGCTCTTTTAAATGTATCTGTAACATTTCTAAGAATTTCCACAGAAACCAGGAGATCTCCTGCATAAAGATTTTTCCTCTGAGTTAAATCCAGAAGGGTCTTTGTCACCTGGGACATTCCTTCACCTGCCAGAGTCCTCTGTCCTTTTGCAAGATGTTCTTTAATCTGTGAAAAATAAAACAGTGAAATAAATATCAGAACCTTATTTACTATAATTGTTACCATCAAATAAACTGAATATGAGAATACTCTATAGAAAATACAGCAATACTCTATTGAAAATACTCTAAAGTATTATCATAATATTATGATAACACTCTATAGAAAATGGAACAATGTAAATTAGCTGTACTGAAGTGGTACACACTTTATACAGGATATTATTTAGGGGAAATAAGGCAGCTAATTAGTGGCCTCTTGATTTTATATCCAAATCAGAGATGGCCACTGATTTGGATATTCTGGAGGCATATTATTTAAAAACCAGCTGCACTCTTTATACTTAGCTTTCATATATATTCTCCATAGAACCTTCAGACATGATACGTTGCCAAGACTAATAAATAACTATACTTTATGAAATCAATCTACATTTAGTTCAACTCACTAGCAAAGCATTGACTTATAGGTTCTTTTGTATTGTGATACTTTGGGAGAAGAACTTCTCTGTGAGAAAAAAAATTATCACAATATAATGTATTTTGTTTAGGCTCATTATGGGTTTTTTGAGCAGTTTACCCCTAAAAAGGAACAAGTGGTAGGTTCCACACACTCTGGGATTTATTTTGGTGTAGCGTAACATGTTACACCTTGTCATGTTGAACATATGAAATTCCTTAATGTAAGTCCATCTGGTTCTATTGTTTACCTTGAACAACAACTATTCTTAGATGAACAAATTTAGAGTCTAGTTGCATCTTTAAAACCAACAAAGTTTTATTCAAAGAATGAGCCTCCGTGTGCATGCACACTTTTTCAAATATATTGGAATGGTAGGCAATGCTCCCTCTAAGCTGTGGAGTCTTGTGAGCAAAAAATTCTACTTTGTGAGCTACTGGCATTAAAGTTGTGAGTGAGTGATTTGCCTACTGTATAAATTAGTTTGTTCTGGAGCCATCCTTCCTGAGCTAAGACAAAAATGTTGATTCATAATAGTAAGGGGGAAAATTAAACATCTTTGTCTGATTAGAAAGTTTCTTAGGAAGACGACTCCATTTTTAGATATTTAGCCTTTATTTTTGTTGTCCTATAGGTTCCATGAATAGGTCTTCTCTCAATATGAATCATGATACAATATTGTAAAGAAAGAGGAATCTTATTGAACCAAAGACCATTTTATAGTGTATAAAAGTATGGCAAGTGTATCCACCATAAGTTGATGGATGACAGTTACCAGCTGTCTACGGCTTTTTAAAAAAAACTCAAAACAAACATGCTTTATTCCATATTCCATACATTATCATCTAACTGGTGCCAGAAATTAATGAAGCTGCCCTACATTAGTTAGAACATAGACAGCACCTGGGGGATTGACAAGAGTAATCAGGACCCAGGTAGGAATGGGTGGCCCCACAAATTTTTTTATCTTTGGGTCTCACCTTTGAAGAAGTGAGGCAAATTGTGTTGGATTCTACACTGCTGAGCAGTTATGAATTAAAAACTACTTTGAGGCACAGAATAGATATGGTTAGCATCCCTTTTAATGTATATGTCAAAAAGCAACATATTATTCTGTACACTGCTTTCTGTTACCCAGGAAAGTTGCTCTGCTTGACAAAGTTGTTCTTCCTGTGTGAAGGTCATCTTTTAGTGATGCAGGTTTATTAAAGTACAATTTATGAGCTAGAGATGGCAAAACGAAACAGCTGTTAAAGCAGTACTTCAATAGTTCTCTGTTTCTTGCAGCCCACACTATACATATGTAGACTGGGAGGAAAATGTACTTCAATATTTAATGGACATTGGTTCAGGATCTATAGTGACCTAGTTTGTTGAAACACTATCCAACACAAGGCAAAATGGAATAAACTAGCATGTTATTTCCAGTTACCATAGTTACTGAAAATCAGACTGGGTTGATATAGTATAACAAAGCCTAAAGCAAATATTACAGATCGACAATGTAGATGTACTTAATTTTGCTTTTTCTTAACTCTGGTCCCGGTCACGCAAAGAATTTGCCATGTGAGAGGCACAACTGCCAGACGGATTAAAAGGGTGCGATCATACAGCAACATCTGGCAAGTGTCGCACACCCATCTCCGGCTGAAGATGCGGAGTTAAAAAGTACTTGGGAAAGTGTAGTATTATCTGGAAAACGCGGGGTGTGGGTGGGCGTCTGATCACGGAAGCGCTGGTATCCCATAACATCTGGCACCCGTCCATGTCCCACCGGATTTTGTCTTGTAAGCCTCTGTGGTAGGTGCACAAACGCACACATGCACAAACGCGGTACTGCTTCATTGCCATGCTTCGCCATCACCATGTGATCGGTGGCTGACGGCCTGAGCATGGAGCCTCAGGGGAACGTCAGATCGTGATACCATGCTTCATTTTGCTCTGGGGCAAAAAGCCTCACTTCCCCCCCGGATTATCTCGCTCGTGTGATCGGGGCCTCTGTTACAAAATCTACATGCTTGGGGAAAACATTTAGGAGAAAAACCCTTGAAGAAATAAATCATGCCTTGCCTTTGAATTCCCAGGTTTCATTAAAAAAAAAAAAAGTATCTACCCCCCCCCTCAGAATTATAAGAGAAAATACCCAAGCAGTTTTTGCCCAAATTGTTTGGAGGGAGAGTTGATGAGTGATACACTCTACTTTGCATCAATGACACCCTGTGCAATTCACCTTACATCTCTAAACAGAGGGGTGAGCCTACCATTGGGGAGCATCTCACTTTCTGGACCCCACCTCTTACCAATATAGTGTGAACAAAAGGAAAAAGGGATGTGCCCTCATAAACCTGATCCCAGAATTATATAAATCATCTGTAAGGCACCCTTTAGGATTTGAGTTGGAGTTAAGGGGGTGGGGCCAGTGGGAAGGACTAAAACTGAATCACAGCTCATGGAGTTTGTGAATTTCATCAAGAACATTCCTACCTTTCCCCCCTAAACATAAACCTCCAATAGCTTCCTTCTAGCTTAAAAACATATCCTATGATATAGAAGCAAAAAGATTCTTCCCAGAAGCTTCAGTGCTAAGTGAAATTCAATAACGTGGTACCCATCAGGTTCTGGAGGAAAGAGATAGATGAGACAACAGACCAATGCATGGGGTAAAAGAAACTGGTCTTGATGAAGCAGAAGCCAAAGAGAGGGAAAATGGTTTGTAGTTACGAATAGAGAATGAAGCTGTGTAAAAAGGGGGCAAAATGTGTTCCCCCAATTGTTTTCCATGTGCCTGGCAGGCTGCTCCACTCCTCCCGATCGGACAATTGTGTGGCTCAGAGTTCTGAGGTAAAACATGACTGTTTGCATCCACCTCCCTCTGATTGCTCAGCTGTGAATCTCAATGTTCTGAGGTAAAAACACATAAGAGACTGCAAACAGTTGAGGACAGTTACAGAAATCAGCAATTCAAGACTCCTGAATAGACATTTTTTCAAAAAAGCCAGCATGGCAATTGAGTTAATGAATGTTCATGGGGAGATAGTAAAGGGCAATTCTAGGAGCCATTTTGATGCATGCCTCCCTCATGAACCTGAAGAAATGTCCACCACATCATCACTCCCTCACACCAACTCCCACTCACACCTCTCAGTACCCCCCCCCAGAAAGCTCCTGGCAAACATCGAGCCAGATACACCAACGCTACAAGGAGGAGGAACTTAGGAATGTGGCAAGGACATTTGCACATAATACTCCTGCGGGGCACTGAGCTACACAGAACAGCACAGTCTCCATATGAGCAAAATAATCCAGGAACACAAGTAGAGAAGCCATCACTTTTGTGGAAGGTGGCAGGAGTTGACTTAACAGACGACTGCTTCTTAATTCTTTCCTGCTTCAGAGTGAGCTCATCAAGAAGCCTGGTGATCCTAGCACCTGAGGACAGAACCACTAATGTGGTCTACAGAGAGGTCCTTCAATAGGGGGGGGTGAAGTACATATGTCTCACTTCATTTTTTTTTCACTACAATCTTCTCTATTAGAATTCCTACAACAAAGGTTACATTTAAGACTCCAAATCATCAGTATTATAACTGGATTTGCCGAACTTAAATAACGTAGCGAAGCACGGGTATCAGACTCGTAGTAAATATGATAATCTTGTAAAGCATGACAAAGTTTTGTTTTCCCTTATATCACACACATGATCTACTTTCTTGTCACTAGATCCCTGTTCCAAACAAATGAACAAACAAACAAGAACAAAATAATCACCAACCAGTTTGCATTCAGAATTCCATTAATTTAAACAAATGTATCTATATTATTTGTAAAGGTAAAGGTAAAGGTTCCCTTGCTCGAAAGCCAGTCGAATCCGACTCTAGGGTTGCGGTGCTCATCTCCGTTTCAAAGCCGAAGAGCCAGCGCTGTCCAAAGACATTTCCGTGGTCATGTGGCCGGCATGACTAAACACCAAGGCGCACGGAACGCTGTTACCTTCCCACCGAAGTGGTCCCTATTTATCTACTTGCAATTTCTTGCTTTCGAACTGCTAGGTTGGCAGGAGCTGGAACTAGAGACAGGAGCTCACCCCGTCTTGCGGCACCCGGGTCTTGAACTGCTGAACTACTGACCTTCCACAGCCTGCAGTTCAGCGTCTTAACCACTTGAGCCACCGCAGTTCCCTATATTATTTGTACAAATCTTTAATTCTATTACTTGTAGTTCACATCTGAATGGCAGACTCTTCTCCCTCCACTAACAGGTATCTTGGAATCCTTTTTATAGAACTTGGCAAGTTTTGTAATATGCACAATGGGCTTCATTCTCTTCGAAGATTGTACAGTCCTTGGAAATGGTACCAGAAAGCTGCAAATAAACAGCTGCTGGCACAGCAAAATGCAGCAGTGAAATTAAGAGTTTAAATACATAGAAGTTTTAATGTGCTACAGTTGCCGCTTGCTGAAAGCTTAACCAAGTCCCTAGGGGAGGCAAGCTACCACCAGCTCTTAGCTATAAGGCTGTGCCACAAACTGTCTTCAGTATGCCACAGGACTGCTTCAGTCCTGCTTCAGTCGCTTTCACACACATTAAATAATGCATTTTCAATCCACTTTCAATGCACTTTGCAATTTATTTATTTATTTATTTAGGTATTTTTACCCCGTCCTCCCCGCCAGCGGGCTCAGGGCGGCTTACAAGGGGCACAGGCCCGTACATAAAGTCCAATAAAACAATAAAATAATAACCAGTACATTACTATCCACAATCAAGTGCTTACATTATCAAGATGGTCTCAAGTTGTTATAATGATATCTTCCAGCAGCCCCATTGGGCACCACTGTCAAGTAGGTGGTTCGAGCCAGCCCGCTGCTCTCATTGCCGCGCAGTTCTCCTTGCCGCTAAGCTACCAAGGGCAATTCCCGATCTTGATGGTATTGCCACCGTTGATGGTAGTGGTGGCAATGGTGGCAGTAGCGGCCCCTACGTGAAAGCCTGATGGAAGAGCTCCGTCTTACAGGCCCTGCGGAACTGCATGAGGTCCCACAGGGCCCTGATCTCCTCTGGGAGCTCATTCCACCAGGTAGGGGCCACCACTGAGAAAGATCTAGCCCTTGTCGCAGCAAACTTTACCTCTCGGGGACCCGGAATCACCAGCAAAATCCACTTGCAAAGGGTCGCTGAAATGCATTGAAACTGCATTATTTAGCATGTGTGAAAGCACCAAATGTTTATACAATGAGGTCTAAATTATATTTGAGCCTCTTCCCTGTGAAAGACTGAAACAAGGAGGCATTTGTAATGCAAATGACCATTCTGGTTATGACAGATATTCTATTTGCATTATACACTGATAGGAACAAGTAGCGCCTTAGGCCTCATGCATGAAAATACTGTTCTTTTTGCTATCACAGACTCACACACTCTTCTGGAAGTAGGCAAACTAATACATTTCAAGAGTTCGCACAGCATTATTATTATTATTATTATTATTATTATTATTATTATTATTATTATTATTATTATTATTATTATTATTATTATTATTATTATTATTATTATTAGGAGGAGGAGGAGGAGGAGGAGGAGGAGGAGGTATATACATTATATTCACTTGATCACACTATGGATTGATTGAGCAATCAGAGCAGTCTGAAAATACAAGTTAGAGTAGATCCATGCTATATTGTGCACAGTTAAACATAAGCACTTTTCAGTCATTTCTCTTTGTGCTCATTGAATGCATGCAAAAAGGCATCGGATCATACTACTACCCCTATGCTTACACATGTACCTGAACTTCTGCAGTTTAGTCCTATGTGCACACAAACATTTATTTATTTATTTATTTATTTATTTGTATCCTGCCCTCCCAAAGGCTCAGGGCGGCTCACATGCGGCAACATGTGATTTGGAATGCTGCAAGAAGCAAGGTACCAAGTGTAGATGCCTCTATGTATACATTCGTATGTTTATAGAGGCCTGCTACAGACATTTGGCTCACCTCTTGGATTAAAGCAGCAAAGCCAGCGGGCACAATCCCGCTCCCTCCTATGCATGAACATGCAGCTCAGTCTACAGTGTTGAAGAGGAGGAAACAGCCTCTAGCTGTTGATTGGACAAAGTAAAGAGAATGCAGAAAGCCATGGAAGTTAAATAATCTGTGTAGGATGAATACAGATTAATAGTCCGATTCCAATTGTCTGTTGGTACTGGGTATTTGAAAATAGTATAAAGACATATTTATTTCTGCCATTCAGAAAACCTTGAAGGCTTTTCTTAAATCCAGTATGTATTTTAATTTGTATGAAATTGTAGTTCCCAAGACCAAATTTGTGGGAGTTATCCTTTAAGACAGAAGCCATAGAGGTCCCCCCCAATGGTATAAAATTAGAAATAAAATGCAAATATCTGTGAATCCTGAGAGGCTTGGAGGGCAGAATATGAACAATACATTTCTGCAGAGTGCAAAGCTTTTCTCAGTCAAAGGCACAGTGTATCTTAGTCCCATACAATGGGAACCATTTTGGGGGGGGGGATAAATTCTTCGTTATAAAAAAATATTGTAATGCAACTTACAAAAAATATGTCTATGCTCCTTACAAGGTCATGCCATAATTTTGTTCTTACCCTTCCCTTGCGTTATTGCAAATGCTGAGATGAAATGTAATTTGATCAAAAGAACTCTGAGGTGAATAATGATTTGCTTCAGCTGCGGCTCATTACAGCTGATTTCATTTTTTTCCAAATTATATTAGAAAGGTTGCATATCATGCAGTCTCTGTATTCTTCAATGAAATGTCTGCTCTGATACTTCAAATGAAAGACTTCCTCGTGTACAATTTATTCCTTCTTCTAGACATTTTACTATAGAAGCAGCTGGATTCGCGTGCTGCCAGAAGTAATTTCCCTGTGGAGTGCAGATCCTGGCTGGGATGGCTTCTACTGCAGCTCATTTTAAAGGGCTGCACAAGAAGCAAGCCCCAAGCCAAGCCAACAGGAACAGTCTGTTCCCCTGACACAGTTGATCCTTGCAAGGGACTGCAGTAGAAGCCCAACAAACAGCTGCAGTAGAAGCCCAACAAACAGCTGAGAGGCGGGAGAAGATTGCTCCCACCTCTCTGCTGTTTTGGGATCTAGCAATAATTCCCGAATATATCATGGAATATATCTGTAAGAAACTGGCACTGAACTTTTCTTCACTTATGGAATATTTGTTAGGAGGGAGTTCTTAACTGAACATATAGTGTGAGAAAGTAGTTTTCCCTGTAATATGTATTAATAATATTGTTTAATTTGTTTCTGGGAAAAAAACCTGACAGACCTTATAGATGTGGAGCTACTAATTTTCTTTTATAATATACTTAGGTAATTTATACCATTATGGTTGTCCCCAGCTGAGGCACACCATTTGAAAAGAGGCCCACCATTTGAAATGCATCTGATTTATGGGCATGCCACTGAAGTACAAAATGAGTTGTGAAGTTTTCTACTGTAGTTCCAATAAATCTAATTTATTCAGGATCACAGTTCCTAATAAACTTAAAATGTGCCCTTTGCCTTCTGCTTCCTATAAACATTTTAAAAAAGGAATAACAAGAAGCCTCCAAATTGTATAATACTGTAAAATTTTGTTCAAAGAAACATGAGGGGGGCAGAATTAAAATAGTACCCATTAAACTTAAATGTTTTTCATTGTACATAGCATTTGTTGTAGGGACTTTTTTTGCATAAGAAGATCTGTCTGGACAGCAAAGAGTTACTCCCATTCATGCTGGTTCTTAGTAAGGAATAAACAGAGCAAGTACTAAAGCTGGCTTTGCACCTACTGAATGCTGCAAGTGTCTGTACTCATTTGATATGCATCTAGCAAAGCTCGGCTGTTCCCAGAAGGCCACTCCATGAAGACTGAGAGAGCAGCGTCTGCTAGTGGTGCCTGTGAGTCACAAAGAACATAGAAAAATATTTATGGAACAGAAACAACAGTCAGAGGAAAAGAAGCTCATTCAGAATCATTCAACATCCTTTTTTCAAGCATGAATACAAATACAATTTCATGCAAGGAAGCCCGAGCAGTAATTCAGGAGTCATTCAAGTTTCTCTGAAGCACTTGACCTTTGAAGCATCCTTTAATCTGAAAGAGGATGTCAGGATTTATTTCTAGGAAGCGGGCTGAACAGAATACTGCCAGTGGTTATCACTCAGAAGCTCCTGGATCCTCAAGTGTCTATTCCCCTGCCCCCCCCTCAAAGGACCCAGACCTCAACCCAACCATAATCTTAAAGTGAATTATATGGCTTGCCCAGCTGTATGGTTCCCAAGGTAGCTAGAGCCCCTGGAAGTTTGCTCCCAGTATCCCATATTCTCAATTGCCCTGCAGTCATTTACTGTTCTTTTAATATTCAGAGGCTCAGTAGCACCTTAAAGACTTAACAAAATTTGTTGGAGGGTATGAGCTTTTGTGAGCCACTGAAGAGAGCAGTGACTCATTAAACCTACCACAATTTTTATTAGTCTTTAAGGTCCTACTGGACTTTGTTCTTTTCTACTGCTACAGACAGACCAACATGGCTACCCATCTTGATCTAGGGCCTAAGTGTGTAATACACTAAATTAAAGTATTTTATTTAGATAGTAGTTAAGACTGTGTAAACCTTAGAGGAGAAGGAGGGGTAAAGAAAAATAACATCAAGAAAAACGGCTTCTTTTGTAATACTTAGGCACACAGGATATTTTAAAATGGTACCTGTAGCATTAAGAGGACACCGATTGAAAGCCATGTCCCCCGCCGGCGTCCTTTTCCATACCATCGATATCAAGTAATCCTCAGGACATATTTCATAAGGTGCTGTATTTTTGTTTAATTGTGGGACATAAATATAATTTTTAGTGAGTTTAAAGCAAATATATTAGACTGAATCTGCAACCTTAAATTCCACTCATTACGAGCTCATTGTCACTTGCTTGGGTACCAAAATGTACAAATGCCTGCACTGAAAGAATGAAATGTTTTAGATGCCATGGCTTTCCTATTATTTGGGCAACATATATAATTCTGCCATCCTCCATCTTAATATCACAAGAACCTTGTGAGGTGGGCAAAGTTGAGAGAGAGAGACAGACTGAACCAAGGTTGTCTGGTAGGGTTGCCAGCCTCCAGGTGGCACCCGGAGATCTCCCACTGTTACAATTGATTTCCAGATGACCAAGATCAGTTTCCCTGGAGAAAATGGCTGCTTTTGGGAGTGGATCCTCCCAAACAATACACCCAACTGAGGTCCCTCCCCTCCCCAAACCCCACCCTCCCCAGGCTCCACCCTGTAAATCTCCAGGTATTTCCTAACCCAGAGCTGGCAACCCTATTGCATGGTGAGCTTTTTGGCAGAATGAGGATTTGAACAGGAGTTACACAGGACCTAGTGTGAAATCACTATTCTAAACTGCCCTCCTAAAGCATCCTTAGCAATTAGGGAACTCAGTGAAATAACTTGAGGCCTGTAAAAGAGAATCTTCAGGACTGTTTCCAACACTACTTGGGGAAAACCTGGCAGCTAAAAACAATTAAAATTGGTTTAGATTTGTAGTATGAACAAGATCACTGCCTCTATATTTATTTATCTAAAATGTGATAAAATTAATAATAATAATAATAATAATAAACAACCAAATATATAAACCAAATATAGAGGAAAAAAGTGGACTACTGGAGGTCTTTGCTGTCTGATTGAATTGTGTCTTAGTGAGATAGGTGAACTATGAATGAAGTTAACAGCAACAGCAATAACAAAGCAATTAAAAATGAATCTCTAAAAGTCCTCTGATTTTTTTTAAAAAAATCTGAAATGTCCTCCAAAAGGTCAATGAAGACAATGAAGACAACTCCCTCCAAATTTCCTCTGAAAGTCTTTACCTGTAGAACAACATCCTCACCCAAAATGCACAAAATCTTGCCATAGCAGTATGACTCTGTTGAATGGAGGTCATCATCACTAAAGATTACCTGAAGGTGCATGGGTTTATATTGGGACAGGCAGTCCTTCAGCTATATAGCCTCAACTCAGTAATTATGGATAAGAATTGAGCACACAAGCAAACAGATACCAAATAAAGCTGTTTCAAAACTAACTTAGTACACGCATACCATTCAACCCATGTAAAAAAGTTAGCTGCTGTATCCCATTATTATTTTTATGCCATCTTTCCATCCAAATAGGCTTCCTAAGGCAGGGCGATCTTCCAGTTGAAGATTCTATATTGTCTTCAAGGGAAGCCACAAACATTACAATCCTTGATTCTACAGCTATGGAATCTTGAATCTGTGTGACTAGGAAAGACAACTTACAAGCTAATGAAGATGGTAGAAATCACTCCTAGCAACAGCACCTACTTGTTCTTCTGGGCTCAGAAAGAAAGAAAGAAAAACACCCCAAACTCTATACCTGATTGGCCATGGACAGCTTGAACTGGCAGAACAGTCCCTCCAAAAGGATATGCTTCCCTCTCTAGTAATACCTCCATCTTATCTAGAGGATTCAGTTTCAGCTTGTCCTCCCTCATCCACTTGACCACAGCATGCAGATGCTGCTTCATGAAAAAGGGGGTTGTTTATGTCCAGATGCATGGCATGGAAAGAGAATGGTTAGGGCTGGAATGTAGGGACCCACATGTAAGGGAAAAGCTTCCCCCCCCCAAAAAAAAAAGTGGTGGGGATTGAGTACTGCATTGATGTCCCAACCTCATGCTGTGAGCACTTGTGACAGATTGCTGCATGAAGGTACAAATTATCAGCTAGTAGAAGCCACTTGTTTCCTTTCATCTTGGGGCCCAAAGGAAGGGAAGCAATTAAATTCAGTGTATTTAAAGAAATACCGTATTTTCCGGCGTATAAGACGACTGGGCGTATAAGACGACCCCCAACTTTTCCAGTTAAAATATAGAGTTTTCCAGTTAAAATATAGAGCTGTGCTAATGCTTCTGGCGTACCGGCGTATAAGACGACCCCCCACTTCTGAGAAGATTTCCCTGGGTTAAAAAGTAGTCTTATACGCAGGAAAATACGGTACACCAATTCCTCCCTATAGATCCTTTCAATTGCTGCAGAGAATTCTGACTAGTCTGAGGCTGTGATCACATAAAATGCAGTTTGAAAGTGCATTGAAAATTGATGAAAGCAGATTATTTAATGTTTCTGATCGCAGCCTGAAACAAGCTCCTGGGATTACTTCAGGGCCAAGGGGAAGGTAGCAGGCTTTCACGCTCAGCCTTTGGCACCTCAGGCCATCAAAAGGGCTGAACAGAACTACTTTTAAAGAACAACTTCTATTAAAGCCCTTGTGCTTGAATTAGGAAGCTCCAGCCCATGACAGTAGTTCTCCGGCTTTTCAATTGGGACCCACTTGTAAACTTATTGTAGTTTTGGGACCCACTTGTAAAGTTAATCCATGTCCCTTAATGCAGAACACAGCAATCTCACATTACCATCAACGCATTTATAATTTATTTTTTCATTTAAGTATTTATTTCCGCAACAAATTTATTTCATGGTCATTTTGCACACTGAGTAGAGACACATGGAGGCTTCCTGCACCTTGTGCTGTTTCTCCTCCTCCTTCCAGACCTACAAGAGAATCACTTTAGTGACCCAAACCACAGTTGGAGAACCCTAACCCTCTGAGGAAAAAAGCAAGGTGGGAGCTGATTTTGAGCTGCCAAATTGCTGGTGGGAAAGGGTTACTTCTATTTTATTCTCAAAAATCCATGAGAAATAGGTTAAGAAGGATGAGAGTAGCTGGCCAAAGGTCACCCAATGAGATTTACAACTGAGAATTTAAACCTAAATCTTCTCATTCTTAGGCTGCAGTCACACACACTAAATAATCTACTTTCAATCCATTTTCAGTGCACTTTCCAGCTGGATTTTGCAAATTTACACAGTAAAAATCCAGTTGGAAAGTGCACTGAAAGTGGATTGAAAGTGGATTATTTAGTGTGTGTGACCGCAGCCCCTATCCAACACTAACCACTACACCCACACTGGCCTTTTGTTGCTGTGCAAATTAATGCCAACTGTTTTTCTATTTGCACTTAAAAAAAAAAAAATTACCTAGATTGCATTAATATCCCTCTGCCATTCTCATTCACAGTAAGAACCATGGCCTCAAGAAGCAGGGTCTTTACAGTCATTGCCCCCAAAGTAGAAAGGCATCTTCTCCCTGAATTCTATTGCTTTACTTGCTTTTACAAAAGGCTACACGTTACACTTCTTTCAGACTTGCTCTGATATGGCAGACTAGGAGTTAGTTTTGTCAGAAAACTCAGCAGGTGTTGTATTTCGTTGTTGGTTGGTTGATATTTGTAGCTTTATAATTTCACATAATTTCATAAGCTGTTTTGAGCTTTAGAAAATGTTTTCAATAAAAGTGGTATAAACAGGGCTCCCAAGTACTTACCTTAATTTGGCGGGGGATGTATTCCTCTGGGGAAAACACAGGCACTGCACTATTCCATCGCCCAGACGTGATGTAGGCATGTAGCCGGGTGATGCTATAGTAATGGGGCTGGAAACTTGATGGTACCATCAAGTTTCCAGTCCCATTACCAGAGCGTCACCCAGCTACGTGCCTACGTCACGTCTGGGCGACGGAATAGTGCAGCACCTGTGTTCCAAGCAAGAATCTTCTGGCGGGGAAGCATGTGTCCCCCGCCGGATCTTAGGTAGGTACTTGGGAACCCTAGGTATAAACATGGTTAAAAGAAATAAATAAATAGCATTTTTTTGTCATAAGGATACTAACAAGTCAAACCTGTAATGACAATTAATATATTATTTGCCGTCCACCCACCGGTTCAAAAGCTTTGGCGAGTAGATAAAATGGGTACCACTCCTTAGAGAGGGTGGGCACACTCAACCCTCCGGTGGGAAGTGTTAGCCGACAAACGGAAGGTCTGTGCGTAGGATCAAAAGTCGAGAGAGATCTACACAGCATCAAAGAAAAGCCTGCAATGGGCCATTCCAGCCAGATGGTGGCAGTGGTGCACTGCAACTGAGAAAAATGCTGACAACATCAAGTGACGCCGACTAAATAATGCTGCCGGAACACGTCTGATGCTTACAGCTGACCAAACTCCCTGTCGACTGCGAAGTGTATGTGATTAAAAATGATATATGTTGTCCTCCCTTACCCCATCATTGTTAGTCCCGTGTCAACACATGAGTAACTGTAAATCGCTCAAAGCCGGCAGCTATGCAAGGATTGAGCGATCAATAAATTGAAAGATTATTATTATTATTATTATTATTATTATTATTATTATTATTATTATTATTATTATTAATGGCTGAGTGCCTCAGAGGTTGACAAACAGATCCTTGCAGATGTTTCAGTGATGCAGAAGTACATAAAATAGGTTGCTAAATATACTTCAGCCTCAGTGCTGTCAAATCAGGAGAGCTGAGAGTGTGCTAATGGCAAATATTTAAGAAAGGGAGTTATTTCCATCTATTTTGTGTTCACATGCATGTTGTGCATACATGTAAAGCATGTTCCTCTTCTTCGTGCCACCATCCCAACTTAAGAATCAAGCCTCCCACATTACCAGTGATCTGCGGAACACTAGTAAAGGCTGCCCCTGAGCATGTGAAAAAGGCAGAGTTTGCCAATTACTGCAGCCCATCTCCATGCATGTCTAAGTATGAGTGAGTGATTAAGGTGTGTAACCAGCAGCACAGACCCAGTACCTGCGGTGGTTTTTCCTGACAAAGAAATACCCCAAAACAACCTCTGAACCTCCACAAGCAGTGCACTCAAAGCCAGGCTTGGCTTAAACAGTGGCGTTTGCTGGGAGGCG